AGCATAGAACGCAGAGGTTTGCACAGCAGGTCAGTAACACTGCGCAGCACTAACGTGTCGACATCTGCAGGAAGAGGCAAAGGAACACAATTCAACGATACAAAGCGGATTCGTAAAGCGTCCAACTGCAACCGCATCTCAAGGCACTGTGCAAACCATGGAACATGCCCATGGAGATCATTTCCGAAGAGATAATATTCTTAGAGGGGTGAGAGTGAGTCGGAGAGTATAATGCTACAGGACTTGGAAGTAGGTGGCCGTATGGTTCTAGTAGGAATGAAGACACTTCACACCGAGAGACACAGTCATAGAGAAGAGGAAAGTTTGGAGCTTGCAGAAAAAAAGTTTCCAGTGCGGAGAGCCGGAGAGAAGATATTTTAGACCCACGGTGAAAAGTGTCAAACAAAGTTATGCTCATTTTATTGACCCCAGCATCATAATTGGCTCTGTGGACCTCCAACCAGGTTGTGAACTTGCAACCTTCCAGATGTGAGCAGCGCACTCAGTCACAACAGCAACACCCGGACAAATCATTCAAAGCCACAAGGCCGAGAAGAATATTAACACTGCCCCAGCCGTCAACGTGTTCCACATTAAACGTCAAGATATAAGAATAGGGTTTCCCCTTTTTTTCTGGCAACAAAACAGGTGTTAAGATGTTAAAACACCAAACTGAAACCGTTTGCAAGGAATCACGTCTGTTTTAACCACAATACTTGTGGTCAGAATGCAAAAAAACATACTCGAAAGAAAGCTGTTTCTGGTGTGGACCAATCAGATTCAAAGACAATGCATATATTATCAGAGTATGTTTTTTTGTTTGCATTCTGACCACAAGAATTGTGGTGAATGCAGACATGAATCCTTGTAAAAGGTTTCAGTTTGGTTTTTTAACATCTTAACACAGCTGTTTTGTTGCCAGAAAAAAGGGGAAAACCTATTCTTATATTTTGACACCGGCAAAGGAGGTCCCATGATGTAAACGTCGAGAGTTTGTATGTTCACTTCAAGACTCGAGAGCGCATTGGTTTTCATCTGATTTAATCAACCTAAGCACCCACCCTGCAACCCTCCATACTGGATGTCGTATCATTCACTTCTCCTGTGAATGTCGAGGTTTCCACAGCTGAAGAGTCTGGGCCCGTGTGTGATTTGGCCAAAGGAAACAGGAGCACACCCTGTGAATTCAGTGTGGGAGCAACTGGCACAGCTAAATATAGGGTCGTGACACATTTCCCCCCTCTCGTTCTCACTATATTGGGAAGCCATGTGTGTTAGTGGGCATCACATTCACCACCGAGCCAGTTCATACAGCTCATGGTTCAATAATAACTGGGCCCAGATTAATTTGTTTACAGGGTTTGTCATCGCAAAGAGATATATACGAATACCAACATGTTATTGAAAAGCTATCAAAAAAATCAGCAACGTAAATAGCGATAGCCGGCCACTACGTTCCGGCAGTGTCACAACCCAAATGCTACTTTCTCACACACCCAGTTGCACGTGATTTTGAACTGCTCCTACACAATGACCAGGACCAAAGCCTCCCTTACAATTGCTTTTCTTAAATGAGCATTTATCACTGAATGAAACTGAGATTAACAACGCAATAAAACGCAACCGTGCATCAGGTATATATTTAGATGATGCCCATAAATAACCTTTAAATGTGATTCTGCGCAAAAATGTGTGACCATTGATGCAATCACGTATATTCGAGCCGATCAGCTCTGTTGGTGATCCTGTGTGCAAGCGGTTACAATTTGACATCACTACGGCAAGTCACAGTCTCTGTGCAGGAAGTTCATGGCCGACTTCGTGACAGGTGATATTCATCATTTGGTCCTCATTTCGCCGACTCTGGAGAGATGATGCACGGAGTTGACCCCCACACCGATGACCTATGGTTGGCAAGACTATTGCTCTACCAAGTACCCACTGATACAAAGAAAGCCTAGCTCAAGTGGATCCAACGAATCTAAGTGATTATGCACGTCGTATCTCTTTCAACGGAGAGTTAAAAACCATATGCGCCAAGCGTCACGTATCAAAGGATGGAAGAGCTGCCTAAAACATTACACGTTTGTCTTTGCGAGTCACGGGTCACTGCCTACACAATTTCGGCTGTCTGGGCTCACGGTTATAAGACTGCCATCGTTCACTCATCCGCTCATTGATGTTCAGGGATTTAAACGAGGCAGATCCATTGAGCGACAGGAAACCTGTTTACCCATGACCATAATTTGTCTTGGAAATAAGTTGCAGCATTGAATGAATAATATGCACTGGCCATGTTTGGGCCACTTCGCAGTCCGAGCTTAACAATTCTTGGGAATCCAAAATACTACCTAGGCTCAACCCGAATCAGCTTCAGGGTGATTTGGTCATATGTATTTGCATATTTGGGAAGGAGAATTAGGTCCCAGGAGAGGTCCCATTGCAAGTATATTTATGACTCGGCCCAGCCAGGGACTGAGAGACCCAGGAGTGTTCGTGGGAAAGAAGGAGGAACAACGCACGATCGACGGCTCTCAGCGCTGCCAGGCCACCCAGAACATACGCACGGCGCGTTCTCTCTGCGACACACGAGAGTACAGCCCAACATCCCTCGGAGATCGCAGCACACTCGTCCTTCCCTGCCAAGGAGAGCACCAAGAATAGCAACTCGAGCCAACAACTTGCTGGAGAGGAATATGAATATAAAACCACGCTCGCCTTGTCGTTGCTCTGCATCTGGTTGCAGTCAAGCGCTGCTGCTATCGCTTCATTTATCACGCAGCGATTCTGAGAATTATTAAAATCGAAATAATTAAGTTTACTGGCAGCAAGAAACTGAATTCCTCTCCATTGAACAATAAATGTACTTGAGTGCAGTTTTAATTTCAAAACGTTTATTCCACCGCACAGACAATGAACACGATTAAACTGGAACAAGTATGAGCTGTTGATTCAGCTGGCTTTCATCAAGCTTGCTAAGAGGCCATGTGTTGGGCGAGGGGCAATGAGATATCTGGCTAACTGCAGAATACTCGCCACCCAAAGGGCCTGTGTTCAATCTCTGCTGAAACTGCCCACTTAGGTCTCTTCTAGGTTTACTCAGCTGTGAATGAAATAATCCCTCCGACATCACAAGCCTCCCACACAGCCTGCAACACAAGTTATGCATTGTGATCAACCCATCCAAGCGCTATCCAGGCATAACACAGCCTGCTTAGCCCTTAAGAGCCCTGCTTAGCTTCCAGGATCGGGGCACATTCTGGGAGATTTGTTCATGGCAGGCAACAGTCCATTGTTGGACTGTATTTGTAGGCTCCCGCATCTTTTAACCTGCGGTGCGATCAAAGGGCAAAGCGTTCTCCTGTGGGACGACTCCCAAGTGCCTTGCAACAGCGGTGTGACGTGTATGCTGAACTTCATACGTGCGGTATGTTGAACTTCTTTTGCACCGTACGTAGCCGACCGTGCTAATCGGAGATGCGGGGCGAGGGGGGGACAACAAACTAAACACAAAAAGCAGTTCGAGAGAAATAAGTGGAACATCATTATCATCCTTACTCCAAAGATCTTTGTAATCAACCAGGCTACGCGTTAATTGTGTGTTGACCGACTCTCTGTGTTACATTGCATTACATTTCCAAATGTATCTAAGTTTGTTTGATTAAGTGTGTTTTCTCTGTCTCTCGGTGTGTCCTCGTGTTGTCACTTTAGTATTTCCTGCAGTCACGGAAGCTCCAAATCTCTCATTGACATGTTAATTTCTCTACCCCCCCCCCTCTCTCTCTCTGCCCCCCCCCCCTCTCTCTCTGCCCCCTCTCTCTCTAAGGCCTCGACACAGATGCGTTGTTTCTCTGTGTGCCTATATGTGTGTCTCTCTCTGTGTGTCTCTGTGTTATCTCTCTCTGCTTATGTGTCTGTCTATGTGTCTCCGTGTCTGTGTTTTATCTCTCTCAAATTTAGCAATCTTTGAAAGAACGTAATCAACCAGGTGGGGTGTTGACTGTTGTGTTAGCCGACTCTCTGTGTTGTATTGCATTATATTTCTAAGTTTACTAGGTTTGTTTTCTCATTCATTCGTACCTGATGATGATTGCTTGTGTTGCAATCGAAACGTCGTATGCTATTATTTAATTAATTTTTCTTTCGACGTGACTTCACCGAAAGAACCAAAGATTAAACAGAATTGTTCTAAAAACACTAATATTGATTCATTTTCATTATTAACTACTTAATTATTTAAATGATTCTACTAGGGCTTTTCATTATGTGAAATGAATATGTAATTGTTATAATTGTACTCTCCATTTTGCTTCGTTCTACTACAAAGTTTCAAGTATTTTTTTTATAGTTACAATTACTTTTAAGTTTATAATTATAAGAGAACTTCAATATAATATTTTTAACATCTGCAGTTTTAGTTAGACGTTGAATATTTTCAAGTGAATGTTATGCTAAATTTCAGCTTTCCAACGCCTCCTTTTTAATACGTGTTTTCTCCTACAACATCAGAGTGCAGCGCCACATTAAATACGCACTACAATGACAATAGTTTAAAGTGATTTCAATCATGTTTCATTTTCAAAATGGAAATATGGTGGGGGAGGCAGAGCTTTGTGACGTCATATTTGAGGGGGTCTGACTCTTTGTGACGCCGTGTGACGAGGGGGAGGGGGTCAAAAATCGGTCAAAAATCGGCCAAAATCGCGTGACGTCATTTATGGACGGCCCCTTAATATTAATCCTTGATCGTTTCTGCGTGGATTACATATCGGCCGTTCTATAGGTTTCGGTGGGAGGTGTAGAAAGTCCGCGTGCGTCCAGGGAGGGGTGGGTCAAGTGTTGACAGATTTGTGCGTCTTCTTTGGTTCTTTCGGTAAAGTCACGTAGAAGGGAAGTAATAAAATAATAAAAATAAAACATAAAAAAATATTATAAAATAATATAATAAAATACTCAATGGCTGGGCCCCTTAGCAGAGTGGCCGCGTCAGTGGGACTCACCTAAGCCCAGCATGGGAATTGTCTGCCCGTTGGAGAGCTCCACCGAGGGCAGCGCGCTGCCCGCGTCCATCGGGCCGCTGCTCACGGGCACAAGGGGCGCCGCAGGGGAGACGCGAGACAGCGCAGCGCTCCTCGCCCAGCCGAGGACCTCGTCGTGTTGACCGCACGTGCCTGGGCCGCTAGAGTTGCGCTCGCGTCGCTAAGGATCCGTCTATTGTTGTTGTTGTTGCTGTTGTTGTTGTTGTCGAGTTTGTTTAGAAGTCGTCTCGAGTGGGGGGGGGCTCTCTCGTGCAGCGCTCGGACGATCGAGACGGCTCCTGCACGCGGCGGCGGCGGCGCCTTTGAAGTGAACGCGGAGCGAAGGGCCGCTTCGTGGTGGTGGTGAGGGGGGGGCGTGGGGGGCCGAAGGGGGGCCAGAGTGGGGGCTAAGGGGGGGGGGCTGCCTTGGCTCCAGCAGCTGATCGGGCCGGCCCTCGTGTGGAGGAGAGAAAAAAAAATACCGTCGCTTTACGGCCAAACCGCGGTAAAGTGTCGCAAAGCGGATCAACCTCCCCCAATGGTCGAGCCCGTCTGGGTGCCGTAAAGCGGATTTCGCAGGCACGGGCCACGTGCGTTGAGTTTGCGTTGCGCTGCGTGCTGCTGTGCGCTGCTCGTGAGCTCGTTCGTATGTACAGTACAACTTTACGCTGCACTTCTTTCGTACCGTACGTAGCTAATCGTGCTAATCGGAGGTGCGGGTGGGGGACAACAAACTAAAACACAAAAGGCAGCTCTAAGGAATGAGTTTATCAATCTGGATGATGATTTAAAAGCGCACAGCTCCCAGTGGCTTCTGAATATCTGAACTATAAGAGGGCCACAGACGGGCGCAGAAGCGCTTCTGAAAGCTATAGCCGCGAACCGGCGGCGTGAGCGGTGTTGCGAGCGTTGCTCTTCTCGGCTGTCAGTGGGTGTGAGGTGTCAGGTCGACTCAGCCTCAAACGAGTACCTGCTGCGGTGTGTAAACATCGTCACTGGCGAGACAAAGGCGGCCGGGCGTGGTGCTGGCCACCCCCTCGTTTGCCGTGCCGGCCTTCATAGGTGCTCGCTCAGACACATTCTGTTTGGGCTACACGGGGTTCTGGAGAGCGGGGCGTAAGGTGTGTGAGGCCTGTGTGGCATATGGAGTGCGAGGTGTAGTGTGGTTTGAGGTGTCACGAGAGCAGGTTGCACGGCGGCAAGTGTGAGGGGAGTCGGGGTGCGTGAGCTGTTGTGCACTGCGGGGAAGTGTGTGGCGAGACGCGCCTGTCACTCACGGGAGGCGGCCGCGGCCCTGTGTCCCCGCGACGATGCTCTACCTGGTCGGCCTGGGCCTGGGTGATGCGAAGGACATCACGGTGAAGGGGCTGGAGATCGTGCGACAGTGCCGGACCGTGTACCTCGAGGCGTACACGTCCATACTGAGCGTGGGCAAGGAGGCGTTGGTGCGTAGGCTCGCGTCTGTGGTTTGTGGTTATCGCTGTTCGCATTGCACGCACACCACGAAGATTCCGCGGTTGTTATTGTGCGTCGGTGAAGATGTGCATTGCATGGGCAGTCTCTCAGGTTCGAGCCCATTCGCAAAATTGCCTGTTGCAAAGGGGGTGGGGGGACATTGTACGTCGCTGGCCGTGCTAATCGGAGGTGGGGAGGCTGAGAAAGGAGGAAAGTTCTAATATTAACTTGCAGCGTTTTACGTGTTCCACTCCAGAGGAATGTTCATACATATTTCACTGTTATACTGTACTTCTATGCTCCCACGTCTATTGTCCCCACCTGCATTAACCCACATTGACTAGCGTGGTACAAAATGCTCAAATGACCCCCCATGACCCGCACGGTGCGGGGATACCCTCGTGCAGCAGTGGACGAAGGGAAGCGATTGACGTGGACACGCCGATGTCGTGGGTGGGCAGCAGCCGCAGACACCGTGGGGCCCGGACCGCGTCTGAGCCACGCGCACGGCTCAAAATCTGTGGGCCGGTGGCGCGCTGTGCGTGCTAATCGGTGCCGCGCCGCGCGCAGGAGGAGTTCTACGGGAGAGAGGTGGTGCTCGCCGACCGGGAGACCGTCGAGATGGACACGCAGCGCATCCTGGAGGAGGCCCGCGACGCCGACGTGGCGCTGCTGGTGGTGGGCGACCCGTTCGGGTGAGGCCCGGCGGTCGAGCTACCAAACGTCCCGGTTGGCTCGCCATAGCCACGACAGTCGTAGTACGTACGTACAGTACGTGGAATTTCTTTCGCACCGTACGTAGCCAAACGTGCTCATCGTTGGTGCGGGAACCGATGGGAGGTACGTTAGCCCCACAGAAAGCAGCGCATCGAGTTGAAGGCGTCATCGTGGCCAAAGCCGTTGATGCCACCGCAATTCGCCAGCGCGTTTTACCCGCCGTCAAATCCCACAGCTGCTGCGCAGTCGACACGTGGCCTACAAGAAGTGCTCATGACGGTCTCCCACCACCTGCGCTTTAGGTTCTTCCCCTTGGTCACCAGAAAGCACATACAGTCCAGTACTGCTCGATACTGGCTGAACTCAAGTCGTAAAGTGACCACAGGCCAATCAAAATTTGTCAATCGTAAGACAGTGCATGATGGGGAATTTAAATACACGTATGTGTTTAGATTTGGTTTGGATATTTTTTTAATACAAACAATAAACATAGATCCATATATATTTTAAATACATTTTCGGTGTTTGGTCTGTTAGCTGTTTATTAATTGCACTGCAGCTGTACGGATCTTGTGGCTATCACAGAATGGGTGGAAATGTGTAAATAAAGATGTAAACGCATGAGTTAAGCGTTCTGAAGTGGGAACTGAAAGAGCCAAACTTAAAAAAACAGAGGTGACCTGGTGGTGGCTGGGAGGTCGGAGCACTGATCCGGCACTGCCAAGACCTGCGGTTAAAATCTGAGCAGCCACTTGCTCAAAACGAGTTGATGGTTTCAGCCTGGTCACCATCATTACCTCCACACAAAAAAACCCATAACATTAGATGTTTCACGTAATTTGGCTTTTTCCAGCTCTGAAAACTAAAATTGTATTTTACGTAGAAAAGCGGACTTTTTGTTTGCTGATTGTTTCTTTGCGTGTTACCCATCGTCCTCACGACCGCATAGCAGATAAAAAACGATTCAGTGGGTAGCGCACTGCAGGTCATACATGATATGATCCTTTTGGCAGTATCCTGGGGTACCAAATAATACAAAATGGCCGAGGCAATTAAATATGTTATTTCTGGGACACTTTCCCAGGGGTGTACTTAACTCCGTGACTGGGGTACCAATCAATCCGAAACAGTGCTACTCCGCAATGTTGAAACGCAGCGAGGACGATTGCGCTGAAACCCTGAACGCTCGTATGCACCGTAGTGGTGCATCGTGAGTACAGCTCGTCGAAATGAGTCGATGGCTGCATCGCCGACCATCAACAAACTAAAAATTACTGCATCACGGATATTACGCGAGAGCCGGGGTACTATGGTACCCTGGGGTACCGCCATAGGGTTCATATGCCCCTTATGTGGATAAACCGTCCTATTAAAGTCGTTCTGTTTTGTCGCGTGGCACCCATAGCGCGGCCGAAATAAAGACGAGTGATAGCAACAAAAAGTAAACTTGTGCGACACATTCTGCCGTCCCTTCCCTTGCCCCGCGACTCTAGGGCGACGACGCACAGTGACCTGGTGCTCCGAGCCGTGCGGGAAGGGGTTCCATACCGTGTGGTGCACAACGCCTCCATCCTCACCGCCGCTGCCTGCTGCGGCCTACAGGTGTGTACGCAAACAAAGACAAAGATCCCCCCCACCCCCCCCCCCCCCGTACAACCTGAACAGTCTTTTGGGACAAGTGCTCAAAGCGAGCACCTATGAAGGCAGGCGCAGCACACGAGGGGGTGGGTGGCCAGCACCAGGCCTGGTCGCCATTGTCTCCCTACTGGCGAAGTTTACACATTGCATATTCATTTCAGGCTGAGATGGCATAAGGGAGGCCCATGAAAAGTTCATATAATCGTCGCTGGTGTTGGCCTTGCGCGGGAATTGAACTCGGGTCGCTGGGTTCGGAGCGCAATGCGCTAACTGCTGCGCCACATACTCACCACACACAACAGACGCACACATGTGGACTACGTTTGAGGCCACACAGCACACAGACACCAAAGCACGCTATCCGCATGAAAGTGGATGTTCAAGATCTTGGGTGCGTTTTACATGACGACTGCGGGACAGCTCCGCCACACCACAGCCGCGTGCGCCGTGCCGAAATTCATAGGTGCTCGCAAAGCGTGCCGCATACCTGCCATTAGAACACACGTGCAGACAGGCGGAAGAAGCAGTGGGCTGGGGTTAAAGTGCTCCAGAGAAAGGGGCATTATTGGAAACCGTTAAGAGGCACCTCGGTGACCCCGAGCCGAGATGACGATTGATTTGACCTCTCGCGTGGCCACGTTCATTGATGACCTTGCGAGTCAAAAGTTTCCTTGCGTTGTGTGGTTGCCCATCTCCGTGAGCGTTTCTGAGCAAGTGCTCGAAAGTTCACATTCCTCCGTAGCTCAGCCGCTCGGCAATTCTCACCGAGTGGCGCACAATGCACCAACCCCATTGGGAGGGATGAGTCGAGTGTGACTCACAATCAAACACTCACCAGCCGGCCTCTCTTCTCCACGACTGAGTGATCCTTCCCGGGCCTAATAATGTTAATTCTCCTGCTCTGAAACCGCTCTGAAGTTCCTCACACGGTTCGGGGTCAGGACCCCGAATTTCCTGGTTTGGTAATGGGGGTGCTACTGTGCCGTCCGTGGGAAGCATCTTGTTTCGCGCGCTGACACGTTAAGCAGACACCTTGTGTCCTCCTTCGCAGTCTGTGACGCATCGACGTGGCCACGTAGCTTTGGTGGTGGTGGTGGCGGTTTTTCCGATCTGGCACCACACGCCAATGTGAATATCCCAGCTTAAGCTAACGACTATAATTCTGTAATTGATTCAAGCTAAGTTGACCCGTCATTCCTATTTTAAGCTTGACTCTGACATTTGACCTCATTAAACTGTTAGGAGCTTGGCAGTAACATGTCAGTGCTTATTATGTGTGTGTGTCCTTGTATCTACGTGTGTGTATGAGCGGAGCGGCAGTGTAGTAGTGCAATGTGCTACGAACTCAGTAACCTTCGATTCATGCTTGTGGCCGACATCGTTGGCGAATTTCTAAGTTGGTCGCAAGCATCTTCGTGTTCGATTTAGCTTCAAAAGAATACCTGGTGCAGCGGGTCAACATCGGCACTGGTGAGACAAAGGTGGCCGGGTGTGGTGCACCATGCAGGACTTCGTAGATGCTCGCTAACAGCACTTGCCACAACAGCCTATAAGGTTATATGGGGGACCTTTGTCTGTGTGTGTCTACGTGTGTTTACGTGTGTTCTTGCGTTATCCAAGCAGAGCTTTAATTGCTTTTCGTATCACAATTCTTTTTACATTTCTACCCTAATGGCCATAAAATGACAAACCCCAAAACTTAATACCGTTGACCTTTCTACCCTGAGGTTAAAGTTTTAAGACAACGACATTAAGGATTTTCATTCAGTTAAAGGAATTACCTCCCTGTGCCAACCCATGGCTGTCTCCTTAGTGCGGCCCTGCCGCTCACTTCCTGTCATGGAGCTCTTGCATTTAGGTGCCCGTGAACTCTGCTGCTCCCTGCCCGCCCGAGGATATTTGCCGTCACTCGGGAAGTCAACAGGCGCTCTGCCGCCTCAGACTCCGTTATCTTTTTCTTGTAACTACGGTTGTTGAAGCAAAAAACACGGCCCATTCCGGAATGAAAATAGATACGTTTTTTTACCCATATCTATGCAATACTTTCCACACAAGTTGTTGTATGTTGCAAAGTGAGGCTTCAAAATGGGTTTTTTTAATCCCAGGAATGCAGCAATGAAAAGTTTTATTGGCTAAACGTGGTCTGGGAAATTCCCTAATTGGAGGCCATTATCTCAATTAGCAGGCGTTTAAATCAGATGAATAGCCTTGCATTTGGTTGTGACTAAACCTGTTTGCTGGAGTTCACAGTTCAATTCCCACCGTTATCCAGAATGTACTGCAGGGAATTGCCAAAACACACAGTCTGCTGTGAAGTGGATATTAAATACCGTATAACATCATAAACAAGGGCAGGCTATAGTTGTACCAGTGTCATAGTCCAGAGCCAACATTTAAAAATCACCCGCTAATATACTGTAAACTAAATTATGCCAGGTAAAAACCAATAATGGTGTTATAAGTACAGCAACCTGGATCTGCCTTGCACTGTTAAAGCATTTCTAACTTTTCAGCTTGAGTTAACGGAATCACGAGTTTTTCCCACGTACGGTAATTCAGCTGCTGCTCACCTGAATACGTTGAGCTTTGCACTGCTCCCAGCTGCCCGTTTCAATCGCCGTTGGAACGGTGGCGGAGGGACTGGGCGGGGGTCACGCGGGTCAACTCGGTACCAATTAACGTCGTTTAAAACGCCGTCGGGCTACTGATGTGTGATTGGCCTTGGTACGATTGTGGAATGCAGCCCCGTGGTTGCTCCCCCCCCCCACATACTCCCCATCCCACGCCTATGTCTACAACAGCGGCAGCAGTAGCAGCCGTGTTATGACACCATGAAATTAACGGTGAAAAATTACGAATTCCTTCCCATGCGTAAGTCTTCCCGGCGGTTGTTTTATTTTCTCTCCCAATGTGGGGGAGGAGTTGATGAACTGCGAGCCGCAGTGCGAGGACGGTCCCAGCAGGAGGCCTGTTCCTCGAGGCCTCGCTCAGTCTTTAGAGCCTCAACGCTCATCGGCTGTCGTTGGGATTTATACCCCAAAAAAACATTACAAGCCCCGGTCGGAAGAGAGAAAAAAAAAGCTAGTCATGTTAGGCCTCAATAATGTAAAAAAAGACAATATTAACAACTGAAAATTATGAGTTTTTGTTTAATAAAAGAGATATACTTTACCGGGTTACCCCACACCTGAATTAGCCCAGTATTTTGAGAATACGCTGCATTTTTAACAAATCTCCACATATATATTAAAAAGCATTGTAACGTTATATTCAAGCCACGACGGAAATTGCAGTAGGTGTGTGTGCATTTTGGGAATTCTCAAGCTACTATTAAACGGTGCAGCATCGCTAGAGTAAATAACGTTACTTTTCAAAGTTAAGCTTTTCAAAAAGCCCTCCAACGGGCTCGCGTCCACCTCCCCATCTCATCGTGCGCTTATTCCGGTCCACTCTAGTGGCACCATCTCAGGAGTGGGAGCCTGGGATTTGAACGGGGGGGGATGGAGTCTCGCTGGGGGCTTGCCGTGTAGGTTGGGTTGAACCTGAGACGTCGTCTGAATGCACCACCCAGGCAACTCACTTTACAAACATCCAGTAAAGACCGGGAATGAGAACGTGGTTTTGTGTTTTTGATATGCACGTGCGTTGGAAGCGGACAACCCTCCGAGAGGAGAGTGCGACGGGGAAGGCCACGGACAGTTGATGGCCGATGATGGCGATGGGAATGAGGAGCGGTGGGTGAAGCGTGTGTTAATGGTGGTGCAGTCTAAGACTCATTAAAACCACATTGCATTACAAAAAACCGTCCCTACGTAACCATGGTTACCAAGGTCACGACTCACAAAAGAGATAATACATTCTCAGGGACCCCTCTCAGCTGGTTAAATAAAGGACATTGAGTTGAGTGAAAGGGAAACAATAGCCCATCTTGGAGAGCGGTCTCCTAAGGTCACGAGACGCAGTCTATGCACACACAGGGCCACCTTCATACAATTGTCCCTGGAATAAAGCGGCGTGGTCACATGACTCTAAGGGGCCGACATTAACACAGCGGCCCCTGTACACAGACTGCTACTCTACAGCAAATGCTTCCACATGCAATTGATTTGGAATCCAGAAATCCCCTGCTCCAGTTGTGTTTGTCTCGCAGAGTGACGTTTAGGCTTCGTGTTTGCTAGCGTAGGGATCGGTGCCATGGCATGGCACTGATTGCACAACAGTTAAAAATGACAGTTAAGGTTGGATTATTGCCTTCAGCGGTTGGGGCTGCGTTTCATACACGGACCCTCTCAGTTATGAGGGGACTCATCCCATCGTCCTTCCAGGGTTGCTGAAATAAGCACCACCTCACGAAGGGGTACCGTTTTGTGGGGCATCATCAGTGAAAGACTTCACGAAAGTCTGGTCCCCACCGTGCGAAGGAGGCCATGAGCGTGGGGACACGGTGACTTTTTTTGACGGCGTTGGAAAGTTTCGTGGATTTTTTCCATGATGCTGTTCGTCAATATTTGTCTGCTTAGCATGCCTTAATTCACATCGCAAATAATTTGCGTCAGCAGGACTGCTCTGCTGCAATAGCAGCCCCGCTGGTCTGAACTTCTCTGCAGCATTGCACTCTCCATTTTGCTTGCAATGCTTCTCTAGTTTGCAGCAGGAAAACAGACTTATGACTGAATATGCGGACCGTTTGCATCGTAATCATCTGAGGCCTTGAGAGAGGTGAAGTATCTCGTGTCCATCGCGGGCTTCAAGCGGTGCACCCACCCAGCGAGGGCACCTCATGACGGACCCACCTGAGCTCATCACGGACCCATCTGCGCTCACGCAGCGAATCTCTGTTTACAAAGCGCTTTCTGTTCACTTAGGCCCAGTGGAAAAATAAACTGAACAAAACTGATTGTAAACTCTCTCAGAACAAAATCCCCGTGTGGATTCCGTTTGATGACATTCTTGCTTGAATTGTT